GTCCCCCGGCCGTGCTGACCATGGGCACTGGTGGAGGTTCCCAGCACACAGCAGGTGCATTGGGCTGCGATGAGCACAAGGGACTTTTGGCCCCTGCTGGCACTGGGCAATGTGGCGTGTTCCCATGTCGCAGCTCTGTGGCTGCTGACCCCACAGAGGCTACATACAGCTAGCACTGCCCGTGACAGGAGGGGGGGGAAGAGGAACCAGCCCCAGGATGGTGGCACCCACATGGGAAAGGTGATGAGCTGGAGGGCTGGAGGTGTCAGATATTGGCTCCATCATCCACCACTGTGGTGGGGAGAGTGGAACCATCACCAACATCTGCGTTCATGTGCTGAGCCCTTCCTGAGCTGGTGGTGCCAACTCCTGCAGCACTGGGGGCAAAGCAGAGACCCTTGAAGCCCCTCAACTGGCTTCCCTGTCCCCTCAGACCTGCAACTCATGGCCCCAGGGTGTGCCAGCCAGGGGAGGGAATGGGGAGAGCCCAGCACCCAGAGTGCTGCCCTGCCAGGCTGCTGCCACTGCTGCGGCACTGCAGCAACCAAGAGGGGATGGATGGTGCTGCCCTGCAGCAGCTCTGTGCCCGTGCAGGTCCCCATGGCCGGCTGAGCACCAAGCAGCCCTGCCTGGGGTCAAGCTCCCTCCTCCTCACACCCCAGTCAGCTTCCAGCAGGGGTTTTGCTGCTCAGCTCTGGCTGTCACCACACGTGTGAGGGAACGAGCTCCACATCTGGGAGCGCTGGAGCCGATTGCCACATGGATCAGTGCCTTGGTGCAGCCTCCACGGGGACACTCATGGGCATCTGCAACGTGACCTGGGAGCTCCCTGGGACAGCCATGGCCCCGCACAAGCACCAAGGGGCTGGTACAGCCCGGCACAGCCTGAGCTGTCCATGGCCCTCCCCACAGCGCAGCCCCATGCCCAGCTGCTTGCTCGCTGGGTGAGGGGGGAGGCTGCGCTCTCCGGACACAGGGATTAGCCCCCAGCGTGCTAATGCGGTGCTTTCCATGGCTGGCTTGGCTGGGAGCTCAGAGCTCCGCGTCAGCACGGCAGGGGCTTCGGCACTTGGCAGATGAGCAGTGGTGCAAGGCCAGGGCTGATGCAATGCCAGCACAAGCCTGGCCCTGCAGATGCTGCTCCACTTTCTGCCCAGGACCATGGCAAAGCGGGACAAGGCATGGGGGAGACAGTGGTGGTGGAGAGTCTCGGGGGTCTGTCCCTGTTCCTGTCTCTGCCCTGAGCTCAGGGATGCCACCCGCTCCCCACCTGCGACCCACAGTGGCTCCAGTCCTCTCCAGTGAAGTGAGCACCATGGACTGTGGCAGCAGAGGCAGAGCTGAGCTGCCCAGAGCAGCTCTCACGACAGCAACTGGCTTGCACAGAGCTACAGGGCTGTGGAAGCACTGAGCAGCGGCACACAGAGGCACCCATGATGGCAGATTCTGAGGCACTTCGGACCAAGCAAACCTAAACCAACCCTGATAGCTTTTCGTCAACAGCAACACAGGACGCAAACAGGACAAAAGCTCTTTGCATCACCTCCAAGACAGCCCTGCCACCAAAAGAGCATCTTCCATAGCTGTCTGGTACCAAGTACCAGTACCACACTGCCCAGTACCATGTGTGCTCTGCCAGCACAGCTGGGCAGCCAGCCAGTGCTTGAATAACACCCCTTGCCTCCCAGGCTCTGGAGAGGGGATGCTGAGCCCCTCAGCATTGTGTGAGGGGCTTACAGTGAGCCCCCGACCCCATTTTTCAGGGGATGAAAGCTTTCACTTCTCTGTGAGCCACACATGGGATGCTGAGCACCCTGGTCATGGCTCAGCGAAAGGGGCATTTCTTGTTCATCACATCACTTGAAAGCCCATGAAACAGGAGGATGGCGCGAGAGACATGGTGTGACACACGTGGTTGGCATGTCACAGGGGAAGCAAAGGGCTGGGAAAAGTCTGGGAAAAGGTCAGTGCAGAGCTGCATGTGCACACGCCTGTGCTGGGAGCTCAGCACCCGCCTCCCCACCAGCTCGTGTCACAAATGGACACCGTGGTCACTGGGGAGCTGGGGATGAGCTCCCAGTGCCTCGCTGAAGAGTGAGCTCAAAGCCTGGCCTGCCCATGTGGGCACTGCACACAGCAGCCATCCTGGAAGGGTCTCGCAGTGTCCCTGCCTGTCCCAAGTCACCCACTGCGCCAGGGCACGGCCAGAAACCAGCCACCAGCAGCCTGGAGGCCGGAGGGGCTGCAGGGTGGCCGAGCCCAGCCATGGTCCCCAGACCCACTGTGCTGGAGCACACAGACAGGGAGAGGGCACCGGCCAGGGGGGACCAGGACAAGACAGGATGCAATGGAGGAGCACCGGGGCACGGAGCAGAGCCGCTGCCCTGTCTCCCCTGCTGCCGGCTGCCACTGCCTGGCACAGCACAGGGCACGGAGCCGCGCTGGGTGCGTGCTCTCAGCTCTGTGCTGCCGATCAGGGCTCGCAGCCACGTTTTTTCATTAACTATTCTGAATGCACATTTTGCCTCTTCTCCGTTCAGCCTTTTCTCTTTTTCCCTCTCCGGGCAACAAAGCGCAAAACACCCTGCACGGCGGCGGGCGGAGCGGAGCAGGACTGGTGGGAAGGACCCGGGCTGGCAGCTGGGGCGGCACTAACGCGCTGAGAAGGGGTCCTGTGGGCCCTGGATTTTCCTGCTGATGCACAGATAAAGCTGAGGAAATCCCGGGGGCAGCCGCTGGATTTGCCATGGGTCAGGGCACCCACAGCAGGGCTGGGCTCCCTCCGAGGGAGCAGCACGTTGGGAAGCGCAGCGCCGGGCATGGGGGGATCTCAGCGGCTGCTTTGGAGATGGGCTTGCGGTCAGGAGGACGGCAAGGTCACATACCCAACATGTCCTGATTAAACAAAGCCATTTACCAACGCTGTGTTGACACAGCAGAGCTTGGGACAGAGTCACAAAGGGCACTCGCGATGGGCCCCTGCAGCACCCGGGGGCCTGGGGCGCTGGGAAGGTGGAAGTGTCCCCTGCTTGCCCCCCTCGGCTGGGGAGCGGCAAACACCGCGGTGCCCACGGCGGGAGACCCGGCGGGCGCCCCCCGGCCCGGGGTATCCTCGGGAGATGCTCCCGCTGAGGCTCACGACAGCGCCCGGGCTGCCGGTGCCCTGAGACCCTGCGGCAGAGCCGCTTCCCGTGTGTCAGCGGCAGCGGCGCGGGCTGGGAGCAGGAGCAGCTCCGCCGGGACCCCCTGGCCCAGGACACCCCTTCCCGAGGCGCTCAGACCCGCCGGGGCCGGCGCCCAGCACCGGGGCAGCTCCGGGAGCTGCTGCTCCGGACTCCTGCGGCTCGACCGCGGCCCCGGGGATGCGCAGCCACCACCCGAGCCCACATCCCCCCCGCCGGGACGGGCGGCATCCCGCCGGACGGGGACCCCCGAGACCGCGGGGACGGGCGCTCCTCTCCCTCCTCACCCGCACTCCTCGTACCTGTCCGGGCTGGGCTCGCAGCAGCTCCCTGCTGCATCTCTGTGCTGCCGGGGACCGGGACCGGGACCGGAGCGCTCGTCCGCTCCGGCGAAAAGTTTTGCCGGAGCCGCGGCGGCGGCGGCTGTGGCGGCCCAGGGGGGAGGGACCGGCGCGGGGGGAGGGACCGCGGGCCAGGAGCCGCGTCCCGCTGCCCCGCTCCTCCCGCCCGCACGGGTGGGGCGCAGCCCGGTGCCCCCCGCCCCGCATCACCTGCGGCCGCACTGCAGAGCAGCCGGGGCGCAGGCGCTTGTCCCCCCGGCCGGCTCCCCCGCCCCTCTCCCGGGAACCGGCTCTGCTCGGCGGGGGTAGCGGGACCGGAGTGTCCCGAGCTCCGGTGCAGCCCCGCTGGGTGCCGCGGGGTCCCCCGGGGAGGTGTCTCCGGCCCCGCTCGGGTCCCGGGCAAACCTCCGCTGGGCGGCGGGAGCTGCTCTGAGCCCCGCTGCGGGCGGCTGCCGCTGGCGGGGCCGCTCTGCGCTCACCGCTCTGCGCTCACATCCCGCCGCAGCACAGCTGGTGACCGGGCACACACCGGGGCTTGCGGACCCACTGCTGCGGCCCCAAAGACAGCCCCAGCACCATGCGGGCATGAGGAGCCCTGTGGGACCCCCCCGGTAGCGCGGCCAGGGCTTGGGGCGCTACAGGGGGCTGGTAGAGGGCAGGATGGGACCAGGGGCATCTGGGCAGCAACAGCAAGTTCAGGTGCCACTGTCAAGGCGCTGGTGCCCGGCCAGAGGGCTCTCACTCTCCGATGTCAGTAAAAAGTGCTCCTACAAGCGCCACACTCTGGCATGTGTCTGGCCATGGGCCAGTGGGGCTGTGGTGAGGCTGCTGTAAGGGACATGGGAAGAGGAAAGGTGGGTGCTGTGGCCCAGGGCTGGTGCAGATGGTAGCACCATGGCTGCTGCTGGCTGGCACCGGGCTGTGCTGCTGGAGGGCGGTGGCGTTGGGATGGGCCCAGCAGCTCCATGGCTCTCCTGCTCCACCCCAGCCTGGGTGTGGGTGCAGAGCAGCACCCACCAGTGGGGCTTGGGGGTTAGAGGCAGGGGTTCAGCTCGCCCCACGCTCACCATGGCTGTCACCCGGAGCCAGGCGCAGGAACAAAGTGGCCATGCCAGCCAGCATCATTAGGCTTCGTTAAGGTGACGAGCTTTCAGTGCTCTGCCCGCCCGGGCTGGCTCTGTTCCGCCTGCTGCAACCCAATTAGTGACACATCCAGGAGGCAGCTCCCGCAGCGAGGCAGAGGCCGGCGGGCGCCCTTGGCATGGCTGAGGCTGGGCACAACTCGGCACAGGGCTGGCCCAGGGCACTCAGCCCACAGCTCCCCACTGCATGGGGCTGGAGCAGGTAACAGGGCACAGACCCCCCCCAGCATGGAGGGAGCCCTGCTCCGCTCCCTGCACTTGGCTCCCAAACGGACCCCCCCAGCAGGAGGGAGCACAGCATTCCTCATCCCCTGAGGCAGGACTCCAGGCCCTGAGCTTGTTCCACCTTTTATTACACATGAAGGTCACAGATATTCCAGTTCTTCGATCCGTTGGGAGCACCTCACGCAGGGGTGCACATGGCCGGGGGCTGCAGCCCCCATGCAGGGTGGTGCAGGGTGAGGGGGGCACAGGGCAGCCCGGATCCTCTAGCCTGGGCCAGGGCTGGTGCGGGACGTGTGGCAGGTCCTTGAGCACCCACTGCCAGGCCTGGGGCCACGGCCTGGCCGAGGAGGGGCCGGGAGAGAGGGACTCCCGCTGGCAGGGGAGCAGACGGGCAGGGGCTGGGGTGCTCCCCCCCTCCCCAGGGTCCGGTCTCCCATCATTGGTATGAGGCACAATCCCTGAAGAACGCAGCAGCCACCAGCGCTGGCAAATTTTGGCCAAGCAGGAGCAGCGGGGGAGTGTGGGGGGACAGGGGCTGTGCTGGGGCCAGGGGAGCAGCACAGGTGCCACAGGCACTGTGGGATGATGGGGCTGTGCTGAACCCGCACCTCCCCGTGCTGCTTGCCAGCAACACCTGTGCCCCAGCAGAGGCCTTGCTGAAGGGTAGGCTCCAGCCCCTAGCCCCATGGGCAGGAGGGATGGGGCTGAGGGGGGCATGGACAGGACTTGTGGGCAGTGGGAAGTTGCCAAAAGACCCCCAGACCAAGAGTGCAGAGGGGACAAGGGGCCCAGGATAGCCCAGAGGTAACAGAAATACTGAGAACAGGGTGAGAGGAAGGGAAACGCTGGGACTGGCCAGGCACAGCACTGGCAAGGCACAGGAGCAGGGGTGAGGGCCAGGGGACTGGCACTGGCTCAGGTAGTGGAGGGGTCCTGGGGTCTCAGTGGTGACCCCGCGCTCACCCTGGGGGGAGGCAGGGCCTGTCCCTCCTCCTCAGGTGCTCACTTTGATCCCAAAGTATTTGCGTAGCTGTTCCAGGAAGACAAAGGTGAGGATGGTGTGAGGAATGAGCCGGACGGCAGCGGGAATGAAGCCCTGGAAGGGGACAGAGTCAGCATCTGGACCTGGGCCTCCCCGTCATGGCCAAGGTGCCTCGCAGCACCGTGAGTGGCGCAAGGCTGTGGGCACAGGGCAGCGTGAGCCCCAGGGAGCTGGGGCCTCGGTGACAGGCAGGGCCGGTCACAGCAGTAAGGGAGGCACCGCAGCCATTGCTGTGCACTCAGGTCTGTGCCAGGCATTGACCCCTCTGCCCCGAGCACACCAGTGCAGCATCACTGCTGTGTCAGCAGAGCTGTGGCAGAAGCTCCAGCACAGGAACCAGCCAGGCTCCAGCAGCAGGGTCCCAGTGCTGCTCTGGGCACTCACCTCTGGGCACTCACCAGCCAGCCCAGCCTCCTCCACTCCACCCCACCAACCCATCCCACATGGCCCCAGGTAGGTACCTTGTAGAAGGCGAGGGGTCCAAGCTTGGCAGTTTCCATGGCACAGTGGGTAACTCCCTGGACCAAGAGGGACAGACATGAGGGGGTGGCAGGAGGCAGGGGCCAATGCATAGAGGGGACAGGACGGGCTGTACGCACCCGGTACTCGCCCTGGGAGTTCATGAGGCGGGTCTTAAGCACGTCCAGGGGCTGGCACAGGAATGTGGCGCATCCACCCTGGGGAGAGTGAGCGGGTCAGCAGCTCATGGTGCCAGCAATGGCCAGGGCACCAGAGAGATACAGAGCTCAGCAGCTCCAGCAGCCCTGCCTGCCAGCAAACCCCATCCCAGTGCTGCCTCCCCTCATCAAGCCCTGCTCACAGCGATGAAACTGGCCAGGAAGTGAGTGAAGATGTTGTCTGACAGCAGCCCAGTGGAGAGAACCAGCTGCTTGGCCTGGTCATAACAGGAGAGCTGCGGAGACACGGCCCATTACTGGCACATCCACCCTCACCGCACCAGGACAGCCCCTGCCCTACCCGGACACCGCCTGCCCTGCAGAGCTGTCCTACCTGCCCAACAGTGACCAGGGCCCCTCGGCTGGATGCCATTGTGGCTCCAGAGAAGAGTTTCTTGAAGCCCTCTGCAGACAGACACTGGGATCAGCACAGCCCTGGGGCATCACCCACACTCCCTTCCCTGCCCAGCCCGTGTCCCGGACTCCTCACACAGCAGTGCTCGAAGCACAACGGCAGATTAACGCTGCAGAAAGCAGAAGCCTTCGGCACAGCCCTGCCTCCTTCCTGCTGCCGTTCATCCCCCTTCCCACCCGCTCCACCCTCCGTGCTTTATCCCACAGCTCTCCCGTTCACAGCGGAGCACGGCCGGGCTGCCCGGCCCTGCCCCAGCCGGATGCTGCAGAGGTGCTCTCAGGCCGCCTCCCATCCCCTCTGCCTGCCCCGGCTGAGCGAGCACAGGCGGCAGCTCCAGACAGAGCTCCCGGCCCCATTCATCCAACCGCGCATTCCCGGTGCCAGCGAGGAGAGCCAGGGCGGGCTCACCCTACGCGGCTGGTACGGCCTCACCTTCCCGGAGGACGCGGTACATGCCGTCCAGGGCATGCGAATAGCTGCAAGGAGCGAGAGGGGAAGGTGTCAGGGCCCGAGGGCTCCCGGCAGCCCCGCGCAGGAGGCTGCAGCTCCCGGGGCTGTGGTCCCGCAGCCCCAGCCCCGCCGTCCCCGGTGAACGAACCGGTGCTGCCCTCCCGCGGCCACAGGGACCCCGGGCTCCACCCGAGCCCTCACTCACTTGCGCCGTTGGGAGGGCGGCTGCTTCATGTCGTTCTGCATCCTGGAAGGCAACGCACGGCGGGGTGAGGCGGGGCCGGGCACCGCTGTCCACCCCCAGCCCCAGGGCCCCGCCTGGGAGCGGGCAGAGGCCCAGCAGACCGTTGTGTCGCCCGATAGCAGCAGGACGGGAAAGGTGTCCCCAGCCCCACACCCCCCGAGGCCGCACCAGCGGCTGGGGCTGTCACACCGAACACAACAGCTCCAGCCCTGGCACAGAGCCTCCCGCTGGCACCGGCCTCCAGCCGCGGCACGGCCGCTCAGGAGATCAGTGAGGAGCACGGGCGCACCCCCCACCCCGACTGCTGCCACACACGAGCCACGAGCTGCCCCCAGCAGCACCAGAACGTGCCAGCACCGACCTGACGTTCACCAGGTCTGCCGGTGTCCCCACGAGCCCGCCGGTGAAACCTGTGGCAAAGAGCTGGGGTCAGGGGCTCCTGCGGCCCCAGGCATCCCAGGGCGAGGGTTCCTCTGCCCCACTCACCTCCCAGTGCACCCAGCAGCACTTTCTGGTAGAAGGGGGGAGGCCCCTGGCTGCCCTGGCCTAAGCGGTCCCGCGCTGTCTCGTAGATGCCAAAGCGAGTCAAGGAATACGTCATCTGGAGGAGAGAAGGAGGAGCCGCTGGGTCCCGCTGGGCAGCCTCAGCTCCAGTCCCACTGGGCAGCGCTGCGGCTGGAGCTCCACGGGGGACCAGAGGCCACCGAGGCACGGTGGCACTCACCTGCCGGCACAGGGAGGCGCTGAGCCCATTGTACAGCGCCAGGAAACCGTCGTTGCGAATCACATGCATCGCCATCCCCATCATCCGCATCTTCACCTCCTGCTGCGTCTGCAGGTGGACCTGGGGCAGAGCTGGCAGTGTCAGTGCACCGGCCTGGCGCTGGGCACAGGGAGCGCAGGGGGAGCCGCTCCGAGTCTTGCCAGGGTAACTTGTTAGCACTGGAGCAAGAGCTCCAGGCTCCCTGCACCTCAGCAGCACTTGGAACCTGGCCCGAGCAGCCTCAGAGAGAGGAGGCTGGTGGAGAAGGGGAAGTGCTGAGGCACCTGAGCCAGCCCTTCCCAGGCACTGCCCTGCTCCGTGCCCCAGGATGAGGCACCGGCACCAGCCCCACCGGGAAAGGCGCTGGGCCAGAAACACGAGTGAGCGACCGGCAGGCGTCTGCTGGGGCCATGGATTCGTGACCTCCTGCTGCCTGCACCCTCCACACGCGGCAGCCACAGCCTCCAGGAGTCCCTTTCCCTCCTTCCCAGGCACAGGAACCGCAGAGGCAGGAGCACAGCCCCGCTCACGCGCTCCATGCCATGACCGGGCACAGCCTGGGAATGAGGGTGCTCCGCTCCCAACCTCAGCAGCGGGACATGGGGCTGGCGGGGACGGAGCAGCACGCCCTGAGCAGCCCGCTGCCCTCCACCGCAAACATCACGTGTGGGTCAGAGGGCCAGCAGATAAAATGCAGAAGAGCAAAGGGCCGCTGGCGGGGGCCCAGGCCTGGCTCCCGTTACAGAACGGCCGCAGCGTGGGACACGCCATAGGACGCTGGGAACAGCTTCGCTCTGTGCGAGGCCGCAGCGGGGCTGCAGGGCAGGGACCTGCCCCCGGGCGCTGCAGGCGGAGCCCGGGCACCGGCGGCCGGAGCAGGGGCTGTGCCGGGGCGGCTGCCGGCAGCGCGGGAGAGGCACCGGGCAGGCAGGTCGGGCAGCGCCGCACCAGGAAGCCCGCGGCTGCCTCCGGTCCCAGGGCCGCGGGCGGGCAGGGGAGGAGCCGGGCAGCGCTGCGGTCACTGCCGGGACAGGCAGCGCCGGGGGCGGCCGGTGGCTGCCCACAGCTGGCTCCAGTGATCCGGCGGTGCCACAGGCTGGCTCCCACCAGGTTAAGGTCCAAAGGTTCAGTGAAGCACCCTTCACCCCCTACCCTGCAGGCCCTTGGCCCCTCGTGCTTCCCCGGGCCTGCACCAGCCCCAGGGCAGATGAACTCTGGGCCAAAGGCAGGTCCGTGGTCAATATCCAGGTGTAAATCTGCTGGCAAAACCAGCCCGGGCTGCTCGGCTGCAGGGCACACAGGGGCTGCCTTGTGGGGACACAGCCCAAAAGTCACACCCGTCACTGGCTCAGAGGCAGACCTGGAGGCATGTGCCAGACAAATTCCCTTTCTTGGCGCCTCACCAGGGCATCCTCCGAGCCCCCGTGGGCTGTCGGCCAGCTCCAGCCAGGCACAGCAAGAGGCCGAGGGCCGGGGTAGCGGCATCCCCCTGCCGGTGCCGGCTCCTCTCCTGGGCCGGTGCCCACCGCATCCTCTCTCTCCAGGCGCGGGTTGGGTAGGGGCTGCCTGCCCCAGGCCGTGCCCTCCCGCTCCCCCTGCGGGCCCGGCCCGGGCTCCCTGCTGCTTGGCACAGGGCTCGGGTCAGCGCTGGCATTCACCCCACCGTGGGTGCTGGCAGTGCAGGGCTGTGCGCGGCGCGCTTTGTGCGGGAGCAGAGATGCCAGCCCGGCCAGGGCGCCTCGGTGACACCTTGGCCTGAGGACACGGAGTCCAATGGGCCCCCGTCCAGCGCTGGGAGCCCCGGACGCGCTGCCGTGCCCGGGCAGGGCTGCCCAGGACGTCCTCCACGGCGCCGCACCCCCCGGGCCGGCACCCCGAGCTCCCCGGAGCGCCCACCTCCCACATCACGTCCCCACAGCTGCTGCTGGGCCAGGCCCGCAGCCCCTCAGCCCTGTCCCTGTCTTCCTGCGTCCCTGTCGTCCCCCCGCCCCCGAGCCCAGGGCCGCGTCTCAGCGCGCTCGTTGCCCTCACAGCTGCGAACCGGTCCCTCAGAACCCGCTTCCTGCAGCCGTTCACCGCTCCTCCGCAGCCGGTCAGCGACCCCCCGGAGCCGTTCTCCATCCCCTTGCGGCCGCTCCCCATCCCCTCCGATCCCCCCCCGGCCCCCGGAGCCGGTCTCCATCCCCTCACCTTGAGCAGGTCCAGCGGGTGCGTGCAGCAGGCGGCGCCGCACGACGCGAGGCCGCCGAAGTACCAGCGCGATACGCGCCGCTCCGCCATCGGCGCCTCTCAGTGGGGAACACACGCCCCCAGCCTAGACCACGCCCCGGCAGCAGCATGGCCACGCCCCTCAACTAAACCACGCCCCCTTCGGGGGCAACGCCACCCCCCCCACCTGCAGTACCGGGGATGGAGAACCGGGACGATGATGCCCGGGACCGGGAAGGGAGGGGCCCAGCAGTGGGGCTGCCATAAGGAGCCCGGGGTTGTGGCAGAGGCTCCTCTGGGCCGCAGCTGCCACAGTCCCGGGCTCCAGAGCCACGTTTCCCACCCGCCCCCTGGTTAACAGGGAGACATGAACCATTTCTGAGGGGTTTCGGCTATTTATGAAGTAGAGTTCATCGCAGTGCCGGGACCAGAGGGCAGCCCCACCAAACTGTGGAGCATTCTTGCACAGGGCCCCTTCCAGAGAGCATTCCCACTGCACTGAGAAGCACCCAGACCCTGGTGCCGGGTATGGTGGCAGTGGGGATGGCTGCCATCACACCAGTCCCTCCGTGGTGAGACAGGGATGTCTACTCCAGAACCACAGTCCCTCCTGCTGCCTCCAGTGCTGCTTTGATCTTCTCCGCTTCCTCCTTGGAGACGTTGGCCTTGATCTCCTGTGGAAGGGACTCCACCAGCTTCTTTGCCTGCGGGAGGGAGAGAAGTGTGAGATTGGAGACTGGCTTTCAGTAACTGGATTAACAGATTCAGAGCCATGAGACTGACCTCAGCATAAACTCAAGGTCCGAAGCCCAAGACTTTCACTTGAGCTATAGCACGTCAAACCAGGGGCTGTTTAAATCCGACTGCAAGTGATGGCGCATCCCCTTCAGCTCTGGAAGACCTTCATCAGAGTAACTGCTCTTCAGTTCCTCCCACCGCATGCATGGTGCCCCTGACACGCAGCCCTGGTGCCTGAGCCGCACTACAAGGCAGCTCCTGGCCTTTCCAAGTGTGACTGTTTCGGTTCACGTTTCTGCCAGCGGGGAGGAGGCTGCAGGGTTCAGCTGTGCCACAACACACTGGACTGGGTAAAAGAACTCCAGTACCAACACAATCTTCCTGTTTGTGGGACTTTTACCCAAACCACCGGTACCCTGCAGTTCCTCAGTGGTTAAGACAAGCTGAAAAGCTGCTGAGCTCATTTAAAGGGAGTTCCTGCAGGGCTGCTGTGAAGGAAGGACAGGAACCCAGAGAATAACCCCTGGCACAGTCGGATGCTCTTCCTCTCGCCCCAAGCAGTACAACAAAGGCTCCTCAGGTCCTTAAAACAGAGCTTGTGAGGTTCCTGTGGCACAGGGCTGCTGCCAGCTCTCTGCCATGTGGCTCTGCAGGTTCTGAGCACCAACAGCCTGAATACTACCAGCAGAAAGAAGGGTTTGTGGTTTGATTCCAGCTGGGGGCAGTGATGATGAACCCACAGTGGCACAAAAACCTTGGTTTTGCCAGGGATGAGGAGGGGTTGTGGCACAGGCAGAGCTTGGCAGAGCAGGATCCGCACAGGAGCCCACTGTGGCTGGCTGGGATGAGGACAGGGAATAGTCAAGGTTATCTCCAATTAAAACCCTTCTTGCCAATGCATAACCACTGCTCTAAAGCAGCCCTGGTCAGGGTGGCTGTTCCTGGTGCCCTGCAGCAGGCCCAAAGCTGGTCTTGCACAGGATCGGCTGTTCCAGCCCCAGCCAGAGCACAAGGAGACAGGAGGTGAGTGTGTGCCTGTGGAGCTGGCTCAGAATACATTTCCTGAGGTGCAGACTAGAGCCCAGCTTGTGCTGATGACACCCCCATCTGGTCGAGTTGTTCCTGGGGGACTGACCTGAGTCCCATCAGTGCCCAACACCACAGGTGCTCCCAGCAATTCTGGCTTCCCAGTCATGGACAGCCCTACAGGCAGGGAGGGATCCCTGCAAGGCTCACTAGAACACTCCAACCAGATGGAAACAACACTGACATTAAAGCTGCACCAGCCACGCTCTGAACACAATCTCACAGCCAGAACCAGCAGCAGCAGTGATGGTTTTGTGTCTGGATGTGCCTGAACCAAAGCACCAGCTCAGATAGGTCACACCTGGCAAAGTCTGCCAGCAATAACCTGCATTTACCAACCTTGGACCTGCACTGGAGCTGAAACCAGCTTGTTTGGCAGGTTCCATGCACTAAGACAAGCTGTTCAGCTTGAGCTCTCCAGAGAGCTGCCAATTACCCACCAGTTGTATCCATTACTGGGTCTGGTGTTTTAACGTTCACATGAGACCCATCAGCTGGACCAGCCAAGCTGACACTCACTCAACCCAGCAGCCAGTGACACGGCTCTGCCACTGGAGTCCCTCTGTTACTGAACTGTTTGCTTTGGGACTGACCACCATGAACAGGTCAGAAGAGTTTCTAGAAATCCTCTCAACTCCTGGGCTACCAGTACCTTTCCTCCCTGCCACCAGGTGAACAGGAAGGGCTACTGTCAACCCCGAGGCATGAAAGCATCACCTGTAGAGGACTGAAGCAGTCAAATGCTTCCCCAGTAACAGTTCTATCCTGTTCCTTCTTCCCAGTCTATGTTGTGTCTCAAGGGCGTGAGCTCAGGCCCTCACAGGACCGTGAAAAGCCCATCTCCTCCAAGGAAAAAGGAGGAGGCACCAAGTATGAAAAGAGCAGTTCCGGAACGGGCTAGAAATGTGGGTTGCAAGATGTGTGACCTGGAGGAACTTGTCTGAATTCAGAAATACAATGGCTCTGACCAAGAAAAGAGACCCAGCAAATCCCGTGAGCTGGGACCCCGGCTGCTGCCAGCTCTGCAGGAAAGCTCACAGCAGCTCTTGCATTTGAGGCTGGCACAGAGGAATTTGAGGTGTTTGCTCTGAGCCTCCTTCTTCACCCCCTTGCTCCTGCCGGGGCTCTGATGCTGGCTGCGCAGCACAGGTGGGAGGGAAGACCCTTCCCTAAATATGCCAGATGCATGGATGCAACCAACTCCTGCCCCAGCTTCGTCTGCTCCCCTGCACCGGGACGGCTCTCCCAGGCCCGGGGATCCAGCCCCCAGCCCTGGGGCACCACAGCCCCCTCCTCACCTGCACGAGGTTCACTCCTGGCACGAAGTTCTTCACCTCCTTGATCAGCTTCACCTTGTCGGCTGCCTTCAGCTCTGTGAGCCGCACAGTGAAATGGGTCTTCGCCTTCTTCAGCGGCACCTCCTCCTCCTCCTGCTGGAGCCACCGGGGCGCAGTGAGCAGAGGCGGGGGGGAAGCTCAGGCCTGGGGTCCGGGCCCAGCCCGGTGCCCCCTAGGCCACCGTCCCCTCCGCATGGTGAACCGCGGGTCCCAACTCCCGTCCCCTCCCCGGGGAGCCCGGTACCTGAGGAGACGCCTGGGGGGGCAGGAGGGTGGCAGCCGCCGCGGGCATCACCCCCACGTCCGGGATCTTCAGCGTCTCCTGCGGGAAGAGCGACCGGTGAGGCGCACGCGGGCCGGGCCGGGCCGAGCCGAGCTGAGCCGGGCCGGGCCGCGCCGCGCCGCCCTCGCCACCCACCTTGAGCAGCGCGTTGAGGTCGGCCACCTCGAGCAGCGTCAGCCCCGCGATGTCCCGCACGAGCTGCTGCACCTTGGGCGAGTACTGCTTGGCGGCCGTGTCCAGCGGCGCCCCGGCCAGCGCCTCGGAGCGCCGCGCGCGGCCCGTGCCCAGCGCCCGCGGCCCGGGGCAGCGCCAGGCGGGCGGCAGGCCGCTGGGCAGGCGCGGCGGCAGCGCGCGGGCGGCGGGCAGCATGGCGGCCGCAGAGGACACGGCGGCGCTCTGCCCCGCGCTCGATGGTTCCGGCGGCCCCCGCGCCAGCACTCAGTGGTGGGGCGGGGCAGACGCTCTAGCCGCCAAGTCCGCCAACACTCGCTCGCCCCGCCGCCTCCCCGCCCGCCGCAGCACACCGGGCGCGGATCGTTCCAACTCTTTATTAGGGCCGGTCGCGCTCGGTCTCCCCCACGGGGAGGGGTCCCGGGGGCGGGGGTGGTGATGGGGAACGGGGCTCGGCGGGCCAGCGTGAAGCTGCTCCTCGGGCACCGGGGCCGCGCTCCCGCTGCTGGGCCCCGCGGAGCCCCGTCCCCGGGGCGGGGAGGGCAGCACGAGGAGCGGGAGAAGGGACGCGGATCCGGAGGTCGAGCGGTGTCTCAGGCAGCACCGCGCCGGGGTCAGTCGAAGGAGATGAGCTGAGCCTCGCTGCTGCCCTGCGGCGGCTGCGCCGGGCCGGGCGGGGGCTGCTGCGGAGGCTGCTGCTGCGGGGTCCCTCCTGCAGGTGCGATCTGCAAGAGGCGAGGGGGCTCCGTCAGAGGCGGCCCCGGCCGCACGCACCCCAGCGCCCACAACGGCACTCACCTGCTGGTAGAGGGGCTGCTGCCCGGGCAGGTAGGACTGCTGGGCTGGCAGGGAGCTCAGCGCCGCTTCCTGGCCCGGCAGGGCAGACATGAGACCCTGAGAGAGCGAGGGGCGGCTGTCAGAGGGGCTGAGGGACACACAGGGGGGCAGAGGCCAAAGACCCCATCTCCACCTGGCCACCAGCAGCACAGACCCACGACTGTCCCAGGCACTGGAGCCCACCCTGCAGCCAAGCAGGAGCCGGTGGGACAAGCGGTGCTCACCTGCATGCTGTAGGGCTGGTAGCCCATGGAGACCGACTGGGTGCCCATGTAGCCCATGGCACCCGACTGGGGGGCTTGGGAGATGGCCGGGATGCTCTGTGACTGTGAGGCTGCGCTCTGAGGATGAGAGGCTGGTGAGAAGCGGTACCAACTGGACTCAAACCAGCACCCCAGGAGCAGCAACGCTCCCCACACTCCACTGGAGACAGTGCAGTGTCTTCCCTCTGTGCCATAGGGAGCCCAAACCAGGCCTGACTCCAACCCACTCCCACTGTGAGAGCTGAAGCAGATCCCAAGATGGGACCAACTAGCACATCCTCCCTCCCGGCGATCCCATTGCTGGATCCCCGAGCCCTGCAGAAAGCCCCAGCCCTCACTTGCCTGGTAGCCCTGTGTTGAGGTCGGCTGGTAGGAAGAGTACGCAGGGGTGGTGGTG